GGGATCGTTTGTTCCTGCGCCCTAAATAAGGCTTCTTTAATATACAGCCAGCTCTCCTGGACTCCTTTCCCCCTCATATTAGACTCCCAGGGGATCCTGTCCATCAGTTCTCTGAGGGAGTCAAAGTCTGCTTATCTGAAATCCAGAGTCTGTATTGTGTTGCTCTCCTTTCTTCCTTTTGTCAGGATCCTGAACTTGACCATCTCATGGTCACTGCTGCCCAGGTTGCCACCCACTTCTACTTTCCCTACCAATTCTTCTCTGTTTGTGAGCAGCAGGTCAAGAGGAGCATGGCCCCTAGTTGGTTCCTCCAGCACTTGCACCAGGAAGTTGTACCCAACACTCTCCAAAAACTTCCTGGATTGTCTGTGCACTGCTGTATTGCTCTCCCAGCAGATGTCAGGGTGATTGAAGTCCCCCATGAGAACCAGGGCCTGTGATCTGGAAACTTCTGTTAGCTGTCTGAAGAAAGCCTCGTCTACCTCATCCTCCTGGTCTGGTGGTCTATAGCAGACGCCCACCATGACATCACCCTTGTTGCTGGCACCTCTAAAGTTAACCCAAAGACTCTCAACAGGCTTTTCTCCAGTTTCGTACTGGAGCTCTGAACAGTCGTACTGCTCTCTTACATACAGTGCAACTCCTCCACCTTTTCTCCCCTGCCTGTCCTTCCTGAACAGTTTATACCCATCCATCCATGAAAATGCTCCAGTCATGTGAGTTACCCTCTGTTATTCCAGTCACATCATAGTTCCTAGTCTGTGCCAGGACTTCCAATTCTTCCTGCTTGTTTCCCAGGCTTCTTGCATTCGTGTACAGGCACCTAAGATAACTGGCTGATTGCCCTGCTTTCTGAGTATGTTGCACCCTTCTCGTGTTTCCTTCCGGTATCCCACTTACCTTAGGGCTTAGGTCTCTATCCCCCGGCGAACCTAGTTCCTCACTCGGTTAGCAAGCCTGCCTCCGAAGATGCTCTTTCCTCTCTTTGTTAGGTGGATTCCATCTCTTCCTAGCAATCCTTCTTCCTGGAACATCATCCCTTGGTCAAAGAATCCAAAGCCCTCTCTCCGACACCACCTGTGTGACCACGCATTTACTTCCACAATTCAATGGTCCCTACCTGGGCCTTTTCCTTCAACAGGAAGGATGGACAAGAACACAACTTGTTCCTCAAACGCCTTTATCCTTCTTCCCAGAGCCACATAGTCTGCAGTGACCCGCTCAAGATAATTCTTGGCAGTATCACTGGTGCCCAGATGGAGAAGTAGGAAGGGGTAGCGGTCCGAGGGCTTGATCAGTCTCAGCACACAGTCTGTCATATCCTGAATTCTAGTTCCAGGCAAGCAGCACACTTCTCGAGTTTCCCGGTCTGGATGGCAGATGGATGATTCCGTCACCCTTAGGAGGGAGTCCCTGACCACCACTACCCATCTCCTTCTCTTGGGAGTGGTGGTCGTGGAACCCCCATCCCTAGGACAATGCATCCCATGCCTTCTGGTCGATGGGGTCTCCTTCTGATCCCTTCCCTCAGACGACTTTTCCAAACCATTCTCCACCGTAGTACCTGTGCAGAGAGCCTGAAAATTGCTCGAAAGAGCTCAAGGTATATCCTGAGGCTGCTGTAAGTTGCTCTTCGGGACTGGTGCAGTGGCCCAACAATCAGCTAGCTTTCATAGTCTCCAAATGGCTGGTCCTAAGGATCTGGTCCATTATGGCCAAAAGTGTTTCTGTGCCTGCCTTTCTTCTCAGGTTGATTCTTCTCTAGCCATCTTTTCTTGGCTTTTTTAAAGCTCTTCCTTTATTTTGCTAATTTAGGGACAGCTTCTAACAGGACCTTACGCAGCTGGAGAAAGCATAGAGCCTTGTCCTCTAATGCAGTTCCTGTCTCCTCCCCTCCGCCCTGACTCCCCTCTAATATCTTTGTGCTGCTCCGTAGAGCAGAATTGGCACTCCCACTGCACTCTGGAAAATTCCAGAAGGCATTCTGCCTCAGCAAGGCAGAGTTCATTTCTGAGGCCTGGTCTACACTTAAAACTTAGTGTACATTGCTCAGGGCTGTGAAAAATTTCATGCCCTGTGTGGACGTAGTTAGTTGACCCATTCCCCTCTGTAGATGCAGCTGTGTTGACCTAGATGCTACCTCCTGAGAGGCTCAATTTACTACAGAGACAGAAAGACCCCTTCTATCACTGAAGTAAGTGTCTATGCTACAGCAGCCTAGCTACAGCACTGCATCTGTGCCTCCGTTGCACCTGTAGTCCTGACATACCCTAAACTTCTGCAGGAGTGGTACATCTCAGCCCTGTCCCTTACTAAGAGCTGCGTGCATTTTACACAATGAGCTACTTGTGGTTTATGCATTCTAGTGCTTCATTTTGTTTGATCAGAGAAGCTGTTTCTGAAGAAGCGTGATCTAGTGGTCTTAGCTTATGCCTGGACTAAGACCACTAGATCACGCCTCTTCCCACTAGCTTAGTGGTCTTAGTCCAGGCATAGGAACCAGGATTTCCTGAGACCTTATGCTAGGTCTGACATTGTGACGCTAAATTATTTAACTTCTCTATCCCTCATTTTCCCCATCGGTATAATGGAGACAGTACTTACCTGGGGTATTGTGGGAATTAATTAATTAATATTTCTATGGTGCTTTGAAAAAGTGAAGCAATGTATATACTGCTTGTGGTTCTCATTACTGTGCATGAGCAGGAGATAAACCAATTCTTTGTTGCAGAAAAGGGAATATTAATGTGATCTGAAAGAAATATTTCTAAATCAATGGTCCATTGTCAGTTGGAGAAAAGACTATTGTGCACAGAAGGCAGATAACTGTATATGAAGAGGATCAAAGGAGTTTTTTGAGATGTTAGGGGGCTTGAGAGCAAAGGGACTGAAAATACTACTTTTCCTAAAATATGACATCTGCACAGACGTTATATTTATGCCAGTAAAACATGGGCTTCATGGCTGATTCAGTAATGGAAGGCATTCATAGTAGAGGCCTGAGGAGGGAAAAAGGGCTGACAGAAATATGGGCATGCTGACCTGAAAGGGTGAAACATAGCTGGTGGTGAGAGAGAAATAGCAAGAATTTAACAGCCTGGAGTGACTGACATAACCAGTGATCTCTAAACAGGTGAGCATTTCAGTCTCTTTGCCTGATAAAATTCCAAGGTTTGCACCTATTTAGGTGAAACTGAGTTCACGCTGAGGAGTATTTGGAATTATTTACCTGTTGTTTAATCTCAGTTTCCTAATATGCTGCTTTACTGTTTTTGCAATCTGTCAAATTTTACACGGTTCTTGGGATAATTTTCTAAGGTACATTCCAAAGAGAGCTAAACTATTGATTAGCCCCTGAGAGATGAGAGAAGTGGGTGGGGAGCACTGAGCCCACATGTGCAGCTTAGGTTCTCTGTCAAAGGCATGGGCCTGGAGTCCAGTCTCCTGTGGTGTTGTCAGTGCTCTGACTCTGGTGAATCCAAAGTGCACAGGAAACATTGGAAGAGATGAGTTTGAGCAGCAAAGTTGAGGGTCATCAGCAATATATTGTGAACAATTGAACCCTTGATGAAATGTGTATACCATTCTCCAAATGCATTTGACTGCTGTCTTTTTCCATTTGGCGAGATAAGGCAAAAGTTAATAATGAGTCTCTTTTTTTTCCCCTTACAAACCTTTACACAGTGTCCTTTCTATTTCAAAGAGCCCTTTGCCACTAGAGCAAACATGTCAAATGCATTCTGTGGGAAAGGCCAAATTATACCACTTATTAGATAAATTCCCCATTAAGATGAATGGAATCAGTTCACACCCCCTGAGCTGTTGTTTCGGGCTGCCTACAGCACAACAGATCACATTCAGAAGGTTATCATTGCAACCACAGGGGCTAGACATTTTTTATTTTGTTATTTATTTATGAAAGCTTGTATTTGCTAGAATCTGAATCTATCATGGGCACTGGATTAATACATCAAGTAGACCAACGGTCTGACACCTCTAACTAAAGTAGGGTAATAAAACAAAAATGTATTTCAGATGGAAAGAGAGTAAAGTTGATAGTTAATTTACTAACCTGTAATATTTTTGAAAGAAAAGATGTAATTGGATCCATCTTTAAATCACCTGGTAAAAGGGACCTGTAGTGAATCTTACCATGCTTGTTTCCTTTGTCCTAATCTCTCACTCATTTTAAAACTTTACATTGACAGTGTGCTGGAAATGTTGCTGAGAATGAATGTGGAACATTTAACGTCACCTGGCTATCATCCTGACAATACTGTTTTGCTTTCTCCAAAAGCATCAGATGCCTTTGGACAACATTAGGTCTCAGTTACATCATTGGAAATCCAGAGTAACTCCATTCAGTAGAGTTAATCTAAATTTTAAACTAGTGTAAGAGCAGATTTTGCTCCCTTGGTCGCTTAGACAGTTTTCTTCTGCGTACTTTTTTCTCACACACATTATGCCATCCTGAGCTACACCAGAGGCAGAAAGATCAGATCCCAGGACCTGAACATATGTTTTAACAATTCCTGTTTGAGCTCTTGGATGTAGAGGGAAAACATTTTAATTGTTTCCTTTTACAGACCCATAAAGTGTGCAGCATGCAGGCAGAGTACAATACATGTATTTGTGCTTGTAGCACACAACTACTCCTATTTGTATTTATACCATGGCTATATCTTCTGTATAAGCCTCAATAGCGGTGGGAAACCTGTGTTTGTGCCGACCCATGAAACTTCCCTTAGTCACACAACTACCTTTGAGGCTCAGTATGCTGGACCATATTGTGTAACTGGTTACAACTGAAACCAAAGTCTTCTGCTGGATTTTGTCTGGATTACCTCGCAATAAAAAACAGCATGCAGCAGAATGAGGGGAAGGTTTTATTTTGTCACTGTTGAGCTCTTTTCACTGTGCCATGGCTGACTCATTTTCTTTTGTGGCTGCTGTTCCTGTTTTTTCTTATTGTTTCTCCCTCTCCCCCTCCTATCTCACAGGTGTAGAAGATGTTGTAGCAATAATGATTCCTGAGCCTAAAGGAAAAGAGATAGTGAGTCTGCTGGAGAGGAATGTTACTGTGATGATGTATATAACAATTGGAACACGCAACTTGCAGAAATACGTCAGCCGTACCTCAGTGGTGTTTGTCTCCATCTCCTTCATCGTGTTGATGATCATCTCCCTGGCATGGCTGGTCTTCTATTATATCCAGAGATTCCGATATGCAAATGCCAGAGACAGAAACCAGGTGAGGAACATGTGAATGGGCTTTGGGGTTTGTCCTGCATTGCTTAAAATGGCCATTTATCCTCCCCAGAGCATCACCATGTGATTTAAAGTTTAAATAAAAATTTGCTCTTGGGGGAAGCACTAATATGAGGTCGCAAAGAACAGAAAGGGAAATGGGTTGTGGTAGAGGTGCCAATATCTTTGGGAAATCAAAAGACTTCCAGAAGGGTAGACAGTACTCAAGGAAGAGAAACCTATATAAATATGTTCTTTGCATAGACAGTAGGGTAGGAAGCAAGATGTTTAAAGGCCATGAGTTTTCATTTCTTCTCACCATCGCTACAACTGATGTTAAATAATGAAAAGAGAATTAAATATTTGTGTACATTTGGCATTTACTTACACACACACACACACACACACACACACCAAGAAATAATCAGAAAGATAATATTATATCTAAGGGGAAAGATTCCCTTAGTACATTTATCTAAGTGACCTAGAAATGCATATAAATGAATTTAAGCCCTAGTCAAAGGTGACTTCAGAACAGTAAGTTTGTGCACAAAAAAAGAGTGTGCCTTAACTGAAGAGGGGAAAAAGAATGGAAAAGTGTTTTAATTTTAACATATTTTATTCAAAAATACTAAAACCTCTCCATAAGGGTCTTTGCATAAAGACATCTATTCCCCTCTCAGGCCGTTGACACTGACTACTGAACATGTAAATGAAGTAATGTTGGTTATTAGTAAATCATTGTCTGCAGGTATGGTATTGAAATGAATGAGATTCCATGTGTAATTACTTGATTGCATGCACAGTGATGGTACCCACATGCATAAACTAGGAACATATTCACTAGTATGTCAACAGACATGTTATGCCTATATTGAACCCATTGTCTTTGGTGTGCTGTCTAAATTCCAGCTGAGATAATTACATTCTTACTGCCCAAAATTCCATACTGTATTTTCAGTGGAGAATTTATTCTTTGCATTTCTAAGTAGAAGCTGCTCTCCATCCCACAAACCTATCAATTTTGAACTATAACACAGATTTTCATTTCAATAAACACTTTTCAAGGGTTTTGTGAGGTTGCTATGCACAAAGTAAAAATTCATTTTACGAATTTGATCCACTAAAACTGTCACCGTTCTTGGGAACCAAGCATTTGAGGTATTACAAACAGCTCTTGTCTAGAGCTGGGCAAATAGTGGGTTTTTTGGTTTGCTGGAAGTTGTGGAAAGTTAAAACAAATGTTCATTTTGGGGTCAAACTTAAAATGGCATTTTTTGAAAACTTTCAGTGAATGGAAATATTGGAAAAGCTTCAAATCAAAACATTTTGACATTCATGATGACAATGGATAGTCATTGAACCAAAGGCAAGATCCACCTATTTCCTATTGTCAGGGAATTTGTTTTTAAGAGCTTGCTTTACCATATTATGTTGGACATACGCTATATCCCTTTAGTAGTTCTTATTTACCGCTACCATCTTTCATAAGAGAAGTAAAACTAAGTCTGACCATTTGTGGTCATTAAAGATCCCATGACATTTTGTTTACAAGATAAGGAGTTGATTATCCTGGGAGCTGTGGCCTAGTACCAACTGAAATAATTACCCTCTGCCTAAATAAATTCTCCCTGCAATTTTAATAGGATACAGTATTCTTCGAGTTCTGCTGTAAACCATTGTGCATTGTTTGTAAGATAACTGCCATGTTCCATCTCAGGGGGCTTCATGTCAGAGGTAGGTGAAATATCCCTCCCCATAGCCCACACACTATGGAGAGTCCAAACTCACCCACTTACTGAGCTTTAGTTTGATTAGCATAGAAATTAACAATAAGATATCAAAGGTTGGCTCAAAACTACTTTCCAGGCTTGACTGCTTCTAATGGTCCTATCTAAGGACTATTCCCTCTGGACAGGGCTAGGCCAATCTCCCTTTTATCCAAGTGGGGTAATAAGTCAGCAGAACCCACTTAACCCTTTCCCAACAATCAAATACGGCTAACAGGGCTGGAGTTTTAGGCAAGCAGTACCAGCTGGTATGCTATGATGATGATAGCAGTACACCAAAACGGTTTTGAAGTAAAGAGAAGAAGTGCTAATGTTGCTACTTGGACAGTGGCATATAGGTTGATTTCTTCTCAGCAACCACTATTGCAGCAACATATATTGATTCAACATAGTACAGGGTCTGCCGGCGCAGAAGTGTGTAGCATGCCTCCAGTCTCAAAAGCCTCAAATTGGGTCTGTGATTGCTATTTAATCCTAGGCAGATCAGATTAAGTGAGTTTTTTTAATTTATAAATCAATATCTCATTAAGGTATAACATAAACATGGCATGTCAATGTATTTGATTGAGGCCCAGAAGCAAAGTTTCCTCAGGCAACTGATCTCTTACTCTCTCATCTCTATTTTACTCTCTGACTATTTTGCCTTTCTTCCTCCAATTTCTTTCTCCTTCTCGGACTGGGGATTTGGACATGGAATAATGTCACACTCCGTAGCAAGAGAGGGGAGTCCATGCATGCTGGCAGCAGCCAAAGCATGCCTGTAGCAAGTGAGATGTTGGTCAGCTGAGATAGAAGAGGCTGCAGATTTTCAAAAATGTGGAAAATCCTCAGGAAGATAGGGGAAGAGAGAGCACAGATGGGGAGAGAGAAAAGTTTTTACATCATTGGCACTTGGGCAGAGGAAACCATAGCAACATGCCTGCTTCATTGTTTTTCTCTTTCATGCCTCCTGCGATCATTAATGTAAGGAGTTGACAAAAGAGCACAACTCAGACTTGCCCTTTCTGTGAGGGTTATCTCAGTTTTTCTAATGTTCTATTTTTCTTATCTTTGACATTTTTGTTTGTGGTACAGGGATATGCTAGCAACACTCATGTCCTGAGATACTGTATCTTCTTACGTGTACGATAGAGCAGCAGCTTGTTTTTCTTTGCTCAGGTAGAGTTTAAATCTGACTCCTTTTTGTCGTGGTGCTCAAAGGCTTTTCCCATTATAATCATTGTGTGTGTCCGTGTCTTTGTACAAAGATACTGTGCTTACTTGTAGAAAGCCTTGTATATCCTGTAGCACATGCATCATCAGCCAAGTTTGAGAAGTATGCTTTTTCTATTTGTATTTCATGTAGTCCAATAAAGTACAGCCCCATTTATCCAAAGAGCTAGGGTCACAACCATAACCTTTTGGATAAATAGAGTTTCAAATGAAGGGGGAACCAACCAGTTGGCCAGTTTAGAAAAGGCAGTATTCTCAGAGTACAATAAAGCCTGGCTTTACAGACTGGCTGGCTATCTCTGAACATGCCAAGAGCTGTGACTGAGATTCATTTAACTAGGGTTTGATAAAACAGATTTGAAGTCTTTAAAATCCAGTGCATTTAAACCAGGGGCTGTGCACATTTTCTGTGTCACAGAAAATCCTAGACCTACCGAGGCCAACTATCCGTGCTGAGATCTTTCATATTTGCTGTTTCTAGGGTTAGCTGCCAACTCACTAGCTAGGCCATCCAGAGCAGCTCAGACCTCCTCTCTGTAGGAGGAGCCTTTATAATTGGCAATTCAGGCACTGCATAGCAGGAATGGGATGAAGCAACTGACCATTAAGTTGGAGGATGTTACATTACCTTCTAAGTATGAAGGTTGTGATATTGTTGTAGGAAGAGAGGGTTTCTGAATTGCTTCGCTTGATTGCACCAATCCACTATCCCGGTTGGTCCCCTCCCCCTGTGCCTTACCTTCCCCACAGATCCACCTGCACTAAATCCTCTTCCCATTGCACTAGATCTTCGCTCCCTGACAAATATGCTGCACCTCATGTCTACTTCTCAGGAGTCTCCCCTTTCCTTTCATTGCGGCCTTCTTTCCCAGGCCCACCCTCTTCCTACATGCAGGGTAGTTGGTAGCTCTGCCCTGGTGGGATTGAGCTCAGATTCTAGAAGGAACTGACTGTGATCTATCCAGAGAGCAACAAGTCCATGTCATGATCAACAGTCAGAAAAATGGAGGGCTCTTCCCTCATGGCCTCTCTGTTGTGAATTACATTTCTGGTTGAAATTTACAGTTTCTTACATGTCCCACAAAATATGTGCACATTACTATTTTGTGTGTTTACCAATGGGTAACTGTGTATGTAGATTGGCAGTTATCCAGGCAGTTATCCATGTGTGCATGTAAACATCTGCCAGTGTGGGCTTTTGCGCATACAACTATGTGTGCCAATCATATTTGCAATCACATTTTCATAAATCTGTTTGAAAATTTGGGCCTCTAGTTTAAATTTCAGGCTCCCAAAATGTAAAGTCATGCTTACCCCAGAAGAAAATAACAGGTTTAACTGTTGTCCTTGGTACTTGTTGGACTGTGGCATGGTTTAGGGTAAAATATAGGTGTTGACAGTCCTCCTGGTAAAGTGTCCAAGCTCTATTCTTTATCAGCCAGCAAGGGCAGGAACCAGGTGGCTGTCCTGATACCTGTTTGTACTTCCATGCTGCCGCTTGTGCAAATAAACTGAATTCTTAGAAGGAAGTCATTGTAGCTTTTGGTTCTTTGCTCAACTTGTTGTCCTGAATGGACATCCTGTATGCAAGAGATCTTCTCTGTGAAAAGCAGTGAGAATTGTTTGCATCAAGAGACATTAGGTTGTAGGGCTGAGTAGAAACAATTTGGGATTACAAAACTATGTTCTGGAAATATTCTGCAGAGTTACTTCTGCTGCTGCAGCTCTCTTTGCCTCCTTCACAGCAATGACATAGTTTAATAAAAATTCCTGTGTCAGTCTGTCAAACTATATTTTCCACCATCATCTCTAGAGTTTGCTCTGTGTCATGTGGGATACGAGAGGGTGCTTCAGTGCCAGACAGCTGATAGCAGTATATAGCAGGAGTTGTCTGTTACTCATTCCTCTTCTCCCTGCTTTCTTGTTAGGGAGGAGTTGGCTGTAAGTAAGTTTTGAAACTTTGTGGGCTCCATGATATTTTGGGGAATGGCTGGACCATGATGAGATATCATCAGGCAAGGAGACGCTGGAGCGAGTTCTGACTTCTGCCTGCAGTAGGGACTGCTCTGTTCACAAATGAGGAGAATTTCTATTTCCTGTGTCCACATTCAGTATGAGGATCCAGTCCATCATGCTGTCCGTGTGTATGTTACCTGTGAGAGACCTAAAGCAGAAAGCTTGAATACAAAGCTTTGGGCCATCGCATAAAAGGTATCCTCTTTGTAATGTGGTAGTCTCCCAAGACAATGAGCTTTGTGAACTTCGTCACCATGTCAGATGGCGTTTCTCTTAGCTTGTCTGGGAAACTTTAAGTGTGTTAAAGTATGCCCCCGTCTTGTCTTTGAACTCACAAATAATTTGTTCAGCACTGATGATATGCTCAGTGCTGTGCAAGGCACAAAGATCAAGACAATCGCTGCCCTGAAAAGCTAAAAGAGAACCTCAAAGGCACACATGGAGAAAACAGGATACACTAGGAAATTTGGGAGGAAATAAATTTGAGAGAGAACAGGTGTCCCTTTACCCCTCTCACTCACCATCGGCTAGCACTCTCTCTCCAGGACTGGCACGAGGCTCTTTGCCACAGTGCCACTCCTTCTGTTTAACCACCATAGACCTCCCTTACTGGCAGGACCTCCACACCAAAGGAGTGGTAACTCTGACTAGCTCAAGATTGAATGTCCTAGTGTTAATTAGATTATGAGATTTATAACCATAAATCCCGAAGCTCCACTTCAAACATATAAACACTATAATGTTAGCACTTCTTATCTTTGGGGGCAGTGTTGGGTTATTGATAGCAACGCATTTCTCTTAAAGAAAGGATTCTTCGAAAGTGTGGTTTTTCCTCCAGCATATACCAATGAAACAGGATTCCTTAACAAAAAAAAACAAAATACCCTGATCAAATTTTCATTGAAAGCAAAAACGTTGTCAGCATTTAAGTTAGATAAGAAAAGGCAAACATGAAAACAAACAGATCAAAGTTTTAAACCAGTCTTTAATCTTGTCCTCTTCTCTTGAAGAATGTACAAAAAAAGATAAGACATTTCATTAACATAAATAATAAAAAAAAATTCCAGAAGCACTACATAATGTCTCGTTTTTTATTTGACATTAGCTGTCTGCCTTTGATTTACATTAAAGAAACAAATAGTTTGCAAGTAACGTTTTCAACTCCTTGTCAGATTCTTTTGTTCAAGGAAAGCTATGAGAAGTATGTGCCATAGACCAGAATAACAACAAAGGAAAAAAGGAAACGTATTGATCAAGTTTGCTTCGTGAGTGGGTCCCTATTTACAAGCTACATAGAGCCTCACGTCATTTTTGGGTTCATTTTCTAACCAACTGCAGCTGGAGTTTGCTTCCAATTAGCATGTCTCTTAGAACTCTGACCAGGGCCAGCTCCAGGCACCAGCCTACCAAGCATGTGCTTGGGGCGGCACCTGGAGAGGGGTGGCGCTCAGGCCCTAGAGCGGGGCCGCGACTGGGCTCACCGCCCTCCCCGCAGCGCTCCGGCCCCCGGGGAGAGCGGAGGCGCAGCGGGCTCGCCGCCCTCCCCCCGGCGCTCTGGCCGGTCGGGGAGAGCGGGGCCCGCGGCCTGGCTCGCCGCCCTCCTCCCGGCGCTCCGGCCGGGGAGAGCTGGGCCGCAGCTGGGCTCGGCGCCCTCCCCTGCCGCGCTCCCCGCCAGGGGGCGGGGGGCGGCTTTTTTGCCTGGGGCAGCAAAAAAGCCAGAGCCGGCCCTGACTCTAACAGACAGAATGTCCCAGACCTTAAAAGTGCAATGTCCTCACAGTCACCACCGTTCTTAAATCCCCATCCCTACACTGCACTTCTTCTGGAAGTAGCTGTCATATGTGCATACACAGAGGCTGAGTTCATTTACACTGGTGTAAATCAGGAATGAGATCAATAAACGTCATTGAAATCAATAAACTATTGTAAAACCAGTGTAAGTGAGATCAGAAATGGGCTAGGTATCAGAAGAAATAGAAAAACACTATGAAATTTCACCGGGAAAGTAGTTCAGTATATAGTGTGGAGGGAAAGGTGACAAGGAACAAGAAAAACGCAAATGAAAGTAGATGACCAAGCCATGACTGTAGGACTCATTTGCTGTTCATGACATATAACTGCAAAGCTTAAACACTGATCCTACAATTGAGAGCATACAGGCAGACTTAATGCATATCTATTTCTACTTTCATATAATGCCCGTAATGCAATAGTTTAGTGTTGTCATAGGCCAGTGTCCATTCTTCACTGGATTAGCATTATAGCTGCTTTGCCTAATGAAATTTAGATAACTGAGGAGCCTTTAATCCATGCAGCATTTTTGTTTTAAAAAGGGATGGCATGCTATTTCCCACAGCAACCCTGTCAGTTTATATTTACACAGAACCTTACTCTTTCATGTAAAACTGCTTCAGATTATTAACTAGCTATAGAAAAACAAGGTGATGGCTTCTGCATAAAGATATACTCTTTACTAAAGGACAATTTTGCATTTTCAGCGCCGTCTTGGAGATGCTGCAAAGAAAGCAATCAGCAAGCTGCAGGTCAGAACAATCAGGAAAGGTGACAAGGTAATTTTTTTCCTTTCAAACTAGACCTTGCAGTGAGGATCCTTTCAGACTGCCAAGGATTGGGAAATAGGAGGGGAGTGGCAGTTGCTTTTTATACTAGTAAATACCCCACAGCCAGGGGAAAGGTGCTGGTAAGCAACTTAAGGATGAAATGGAACAGGAAGGGAAGGGAAATTTAAATAAAGATACAGTAAAGTTATTTTAGTCTGACTATTAAAGTAGCTACTGTTAGAGTTTGCAAACCAAATTTTGTGGCCAAATTCTCTAGTCCTCATTCAGGCAAAACTCTCACTGTCAGTAGTGGGAGTACTACTGTATATAGAGTAATTCCCAGTTCAAAGAGACATGCTTGTACTAGGTCTCGTCAAGCTAGAGCGCTAATGTAGCTGCAGCAGTGGGACAGGCTAGCTGACCAAGGACATGCCCATCAGAGACCCTAGGCACGTATTTGAGGCAGCTAGCCCTTCCCACCACTTGTACTGCCACAGCTACATTCTATTTTGAGCTAAAGTATGTCTCTGTGAGCTGGGATTCACAACCCCAGTTTCAAGTGTAGATATACGCCACGCATGCACATACCTTTGCTGCCTGAGCATAGGAATTGCAGGACTGGATCCCTAATGAACGCCTCTCACATTTTTCCTAAGATACATTGTCATGCTTAAACATGTCATTAACCATTTGAACTTCACTCTGCTACTTAGGTTCTTGTTTGAAGTGATTAACCCACAAAATAAAATAAAAATGTAATGTAATGTTCTCTTTACCGTAGGAAACTGAGCCAGATTTTGATAACTGTGCAGTTTGTATTGAAGGTTACAAGCCCAATGATGTTGTCAGGATCTTACCATGCAGGTAAGTTAATACAATGTATGGAGGCATTTACTAATGTGTTCTTGGTTTTTAAAGTCTCTGTCCTTTAGTGTAAAACTGCAAAATTGGAATTGTCAAATTCCTGAAATGAGATTATCTGAGACCGTTAAGTTTTTGGATTTCTTTTTTCTTTACTCAAAAACTATTCCATAAAGATTTGAAATGTTACTCTGATGTATTTGAAGTTAAAATAATACCTGCAGTGGGTGATGAGCCATTTAGCATCAGAGCCTGAGTCTAGCTATGTTCGTGCTTGGCATGGTATAAGGGAATCTTATTTGGTCAGGCTTTTTGGTTAACCAATAATATTGGCCTGACCAGGAAAGGGCAGTTTGGCTGACGATATTTTCTAGTAACAAGAATGGTTGTGGGATTTAGGCTATGTTTTAGGGTAGCCTAGTGTTCAGAAGGTTTGGGCAGGGAGGCAGAGTGTTGGGGGGTAATACTTTATGTAAGAACCCAGTTGCTAAGTCTGTGGAATTTGGAAATATTACAAAATCTTCAGTAAAAAGGGGGGGGAGTGTGTGTGTGTGGGGGGGACTGATTCTGCTGCCTCTTCCATCAGTTTAACTCCATTGATTTCAAAGGAGTTACTCCTGATTTAAAGCGGTATGAGGAATAGAAATAATGATTCTAGGATAGGGTTGCGGTCCATTGGCAGGGTAGCGTGGGGACACTTGCATTGCCATTTCCTATATTGTTAGTTGTCCACAGAACAGCTATCTGAAATTCAGCACCTTTCATGAACTTTAACTTCACTTTAATTTCTTTTTAATTGCTGTGTAAATAAAGTGGGAAGGAGACCTTACACAAATCATATCTGGGATGGCTTCCATCAAAGATAGCTAGATATTCCATTTCTCAACTTGCTTTCCTTGGAAACAGGAATAGCAAAGCATGTACACATAAAGTGTCATCTTTACTTGACATGAAGAACTGAAATATTTGTTCCTTTTTGGCTATTTAATAAATAATAGGCTTCCCTGGTAGATATTTTAAATGTTAAGTGCTCGCCATCTCTGATCATTCTTGTGAGCCATTGGATCTGTATGCTTACTGCCATCATTAAAAGGCAAACACAAAGCAATACTTTAATCATAAATTGGGCCAGCTATAGAACCCCCAACTCTGACACACAGCACATGTACTCTCGTCAAACTCAGACACAAGCACAATGCTTCATCAGCTAAGAGTGTAGAAAATGGGAAATGTATACAGTTTAGAACTGGGCTTAATTCCTAGTATGTTCCTGTGGAGCCCTAGCCAAAGTTTGGAAATTTTGTGTTAAAGGTACAGATATTTCTTTGAGGTAATTATATGGAACACATACAAGTGAAAGTTGGCGTTTAGATGTATCATTCTCACAAATGACCCAGCACAGAGTCATGCTTAGGGCTGGTCTACACTGGGGGGGGGATCGATCCAAGATACGCAACTTCAGCTACGCGAATAGCGTAGCTGAAGTCGAAGTATCTTGGATCGAATTACCTGGGGTCCAGACGGCGCAGGATTGATGGCCGCGGCTCTCCCGTCGACTGCGCTACCGCCGCTTGCTCTGGTGGAGTTCCGGAGTCGACGGTGAGCGCTTTCGGGGATCGATATATCGCGTCTTAACGAGACACGATATATCGATCCCGGATAAATTGATTGCTACCCGCCGATACGGCGGGTAGTGAAGACGTACCCTCAGTGTTGTTCACAAGGTTAAATGAGAGTGTGTAGTATTAAATAAGGCCTACTGAATCGGAAACACATAGTTAGCAGGTGATCAGCTCTTGGCTGACTTAAAAGGTTACTTGGAAATGGCTCAAGCGAAAGGTTAGCAGCAGATCTGTCTTGTAAAGTGCACATTTTGAACTTTGGCACTGTTGAATTATGAGAGCTGAGGGGTTCCTTCCCAAGTAGCTACTTTACTGAAACTATCTTCCCTACTGTACAAGTTATGAAGGGTAACATTTTACAGATTTATAAGTTTTTGTACACCACTATAGGTGCTAGTGTTAATTATTATTATTACTATTATTGTTGGTTAAATGCCAACAGTTTGCCAAATGCTATACAAGAAACAAAAATAAAGACAGTTCCTGCCACTGAGAGTTTACAATCTATAAAGAAACACCAACAAGATAGGATGCACTGGGCAGCTGAGAGGAAATAAAGAATATTGATGATAAATTCTTATCAGTTTCAAGTTAATAGGGAAACCTTATACTCTTAAGATGGAAAAGCACTCTTTGCACTCATGATTAGCAAAAGGAAGACACAGACCTGCAAATACATATTTTGTTCTTTGTCATCCCCAGTGTATGCCCACTGTATATACCTTGTATACGAAGGGCATTGGCATAGCAGCCTGCAGTTCAGGGAAGACATTGGATTCTCACCAAACCTTATTGAAACTTCCAACTTCTCAGTTGTCTAAAAGTCAGTCTCATCATGACATCAGTGCTCAGTGATCTGAACTGGTTGCCTGTTGGTATGCAGGTGAAGTTTGATGTTTCTTTTGACCTGTAAAGCCATGTATGCCTTAGGGTCAGCATATTTGAGAAACTGCCTCTCCCTCTCCACACGATATTGCCACAGCTTTGATCAGTGGTGGCACCCAGTCAAAAGCCTCCTTAGTTGAAAAAAGGAGGAACTGCTGGCAGGATGTTCTTCATGAGGCCCTGAGTTTTAGAATTCCCTTCACCATTGATCAAAAATTATCCAAATCTGACTTTTAGGCACACTGCAAAGCCCATCTCCTTTCCCAGGCTTTTGGGGAGAGATTTGGCGTCAAGTTCTGGGCTGTGTGCCAAGGCCTAGTATTTGGGATTAGGGTCATTTTTGTTTTCCTTCCTGGTTTAGAGGATGCTGTTGAGTTTATTTTTGTTTGTACTAATATGACTTCATTTTTAATATATGTGAAAGATGCATAGAGCCCTGGATAGATTTTTTTTAATGTATATATTGAACAAATCTAAATAAGCAAGTGTATCAGCAGCTCTCCCACAGCCAGCCCTAAACCAGGAAGTTTCCAGATACAGTTAGTAGCTATCTTGAGACTTAAGAGTTCTGTTGTCCTTGTCTATACAAAAAGTTGTAGTGAAAATCCACTAGTCAGTATTTCAGTAGTGGATGAATTTCAAAGCCACATAAACAGCTTCTTCTTAGCACTTCAGGTCCTTTCTCTGTGTCATTCCCTCAAAACATTCTCTTTAACTGTGGCAGAGAGTCAATGAAGGGATACCCTGTGGTCATTTATCCCCCACTGGTTAGTTTGGAGGGGAGATCAATTTCATATATACTTTTTTTCCTGCTCCTACATCCTCCTGTGTTTTTAAATTTCATTCTGAAAAGCTCAGAATTTAAATGATCAGGCTGAGGTATAAAGTAGTGTGCCTTTTGATGCTGCATCTTGTGCTCATTTTTCTCTTGACGGAAATAAGTCCTAGTTTCATACCCAGCTTTAAACGTTGACAATAGCAAATATAATTAAAATTGGTTTCTAGGGCATTGACACAAGGTTGAATGTAACGATGTTCCAGTGTTCCCAGTGTGTTTTCACCTGTCCTCCACCCACTTTCACCTTCCTCTGTCATCTCCATCTTCAAATCCTTACTCTACAACCCCTCATCTGTCTTGTTTTCTCTTCCTAGACTGCTGATATTGCTAGCTTTGTCTTCCTCTGACTAGCCTCTCCATTCATCCTCCTGTTCTGTGTCACCTTCCAGACTCCTTGTCAGGGTCATTCTCTCAACCTTGTCTGTACCATGCTCTGGTACCCCTTCCTATATCACATTCCTTCCATAATCTCCAATCTATTAACAACTCTGACTTCACTGGTGCTCTCCAACTCCTCCTTCCTTTCCTTGTGTTAGTCTCCTATGAGGAAACCATCATCTCCATCACTTCTCCATCCCCACCCTTCTTTCTGTACTGACTCCAGGGCTGATGAATGGCTCTGGAGAGAAAAAAAATCCAGAGACCATTCAGATTTACTGCACTACAGGTCCATCCTCTTTATTCACTATAGCAGTCTTCCTTGAAAAGCAACTGTACTCCTCCACTCTCAGTCTCGTAACTACAACTCTCAACACCTCTTCTTTGCCTTTCACTGCCTCCTGCATGTCTGCATACCTCCTTCTCCTCCTATCCAGACTTCTTCAAAAAAAGAAAAAAGCACCTTGCTAGATGCTGTAATTCTGAGCCCCTCTTAAAATCTTCTCACTAGCTTCTTATTGCTTCTATCATCAAATTCTAGCAGTATGTTCTTATACTGAGGCCATCTACAATCTACTTCTCTGTCTGCTCTTGTCTCCTTTTCTCCCACCTGTCCTCTTCTCTTAGCTCAAACTTCTCTTCACACTTCAGGCTTCATATCCTCCTTCTAAGACCATCTGTGTGCCTTCCTTCTCACTGCCCGCCGTGCTTCTGAACTCCCCCACAGCACCTTCATTTCTTCCTTCTTTGCATCCCTTTTAAAAACTCAATTCCCCATGGAGGTATATAAACTGAAGTGTGGATGATTTTTTTTAATCCTAAAGATATCTACATCTTTTCCCCAAGTGACTGCATGATCCTGTTGTTGTCCTCCTGCCCCACTCTGTCATCTTGTCCTCCTGTTCTTGTCTTAACTTAGATTGTAAATGCTTCCGAGCAGGGATTCCTGGTTAATTCTTATAAAGCACCATGCATGTTATGGTGCTATATAAATAACAGCGAATAAAACAAACCTTCAAATTCAAATTGGCAAAAATGGATTTACCACATGCCCCTACAAAATATGTACATACTCACAAACAGGTAATTTTAGTCCTTAGATTATCTAATTTTGGCATTCATTCTTCTGTGGTTTTCTATTTTATAAAAAAGATCCTTCAAACTAACTCAGACATACTAAATCAAAACTTAAAATTAAAACCATAATACACTGTTAATATAATATTTTAAAGTGCAAGGAGACTTAACCTGTCATGGTAATGGATTTAAATTTCTCAACATTGATAGCATTCCTTTTAGAATATTTTTCTTCCAAACCAATTGATTTTTAGGAACAGCCAAACTTGAAGTAAATGTCTGTAAAGCATGAAAATTCCACACTCTATCTGACTAACAAACACTATGAAATGTTGCAATGTAATCTGCAGCCTGATTAAGGCTTGCAAAGCTTGAACTTGAACACAAAGGGGCCTTTCTCATCTATGCCTGAATGACTTGATCTGATTTTACACATCACTCGGGTTATATATTCTTGATCAGAAACAGATTTTTTTTTGTCCATTATTCAAGAGCATAGCTAATATCTGAGCTTTTTGAAAGCTTGCACTGATTATTTTGGCCCAAATCAACATTAAATGTTGGCAGTTAAACGTATACTAGCCTATGAGCATGGGCACACTATTAAAAAAAAAATCAACACTATAAGAATATTTGAAATTATTTCTTCAAATAGCTGAAAAGTAAGACATTGACTTTCAGTTCAATATTCTGCATAAATCAACACATTCAAGGTATTTTATTTACACATTTTAAATGTAAAATATTTCTTAGTCATTGTTTCACAAACTAGCTACTTGGGATTATATGTAATCTGTATATCGCTTGCTTACTCAAAATGTTTGGCGATGATATGCTGAATACATATATCTTGGGAGAAGGGGAAGGAAGGAGGTTAATATAGTGCAGAGATGGAAATTTGATGCATTGTGTTCTTTACCCAACAACGTAAATGTTGTTTTGGAAGTGGAGTTGTGAACCTTAGTAACCTTAGTAAAGTGGTGGTTTTAACTTTAAGTATCATGATGCTTCATTTACATTAATCATGTTGACATACAGTATTGGATGAGGTCTGACAAACTTTGGTATTACAGCCAAGTGATATAATTAGACTAGTTTCAGATTCCAAGAACAGATTTTCTGTGCCACAGCTGTGCAAAGTCAGTGTCGGTTTAAAACGGAATACTGTAATTTCCTTGTAACTCTTATTCCCAAGCAATCAATTTCCTGTAGAAGTAGTAGGAAAGGGAGCCAAGTGAGTAATAAGGTCTGATGAGATTTCAGACATTTTTAGATTTGTATTTCTAATACTGTTTAGTGTTAAATCCAGCTAGTGAATGAGATGATGCCACTTAGAAAGACAGTTCAATGGAACATACGTTAAAAATTAACATTCATGAGAATGTTCTTCTGTCTCTTCCAACTAACTGGAAGGATGGATATATCTTTATGTGTGGGATGCTGTTTTTTAAATATTGGGATGGAATAGCAAAGCAAAATTATTCTTTGCATGCAGTGCTCTTAAATATTTAAACATAACTATTTGGGTATGTAAGGTGATTCTGCATTTCTCACAGAGATAACATCTGCTGTGGAGAGAGAATTTATACTATTAATCTACTAGCTCAGTACCTAGCATTAAGGCAGTTTGTAGACATGTCCTACTGCTGTTAGTTGGTGGCTTTGTATGCATTCATATAAAGGAAATGCAAATGGGGAAGGGCTAGTGAAGGCACAGGGAAATATAGATCTACATACAGTAAAAGACTTATCAACACTCCAGTTGGCAGGGCTTTTTTATAATACCTCAACTGTAAACGTTCAGCTGAAATTTGACACACACAATGTTGCACATCTGTTACGTGCTAGAGAAAAGGAATTTAGGACTGCTCTACACATAAATTTGCATTGAAATAACCAAAATATGTTTAATTCACAACTTTTGTTGTTTTGATGCAAATCTGAGTATGGACACTCTTATTTCAGAATAAAAGTGCCCTCTGATTTTTGCTTAAATCATACTTGTAGGTGGGTGAGTGTATTTTCAGGCTCCTACACAAAGATTTAGGTGCTGAGGCTATGGTTACATGAGAAAACTTTGTACCTGTTTTTCAGAAACAATGTAGCTGGACCAAAGGTGTACATACAAAATGTTACAGAGCGGATAGAGCCACAGGGCATGTTCAAGGGGACGACAAACATGTATGTGATATAAGTCAATTAATCTTACACTTGGCTAAATGAATTAAAAGTCCAAGATGTTGCAAAATTGACTGTTTATTAACAGGAAACAAACCAACAATTATTCTAATAATAATCCACAGATGAATAATGAAAAACCACAAGCTTTCACAAAATCCATGGGATAGAGGAGAGGAAATCTCTGCTCCAGTGTCTCACTGGAGACCAACTCATTGTACCAACAATACTCCATTCAGCTGCAGTCAGGCTTCCAGAATGCTCTTCCTCACAGCAGTCTATGCACCTGGGTATATCCCCTCTCCTCAGTTGAAGTACTCACAAATAATTAAAAAAATCTGGCCATAATTCTCCATATACTACAGTGATTAAAAGAAATTGGGAGCTGTTTTCTGTAGGGACGCTCCAGCTGAGGCACAAAGACAGCAAACAACTTCCCTGTCTCTTAACTGAGCCCCCTGAGAAATTCTCTTAATTTCCTCTCCCAGCATGTCTTAAATTCTTCACCCTGCAGAACTGCAGGACTTTTCTCTGTACTCTGAGTCTGCTGAGGTGCTTATCCTGTCAAATGCAACATAACAGAACATCCTCGCAAGAATGAATGAGGTGCATAAATTAAATGTTTGAGTATGCAACCTCCAGTTTGTTCAAGCAACTTTAGACAACTGACACTTGTGGCTAAGAAACTGCATTTCCCATAACTGGATAAATATGTAGGCAGAATACCTTCACTATCTTGCTAATGATCACTTCACATTGTCTGAAGGGGTAATATCAACCAGTTCCAGAGTGAGAAATGTTTGTCTAGAGACGCTCATTTTCATGGGTGGCTTTTGAGGGGCAGGAAAATAGGTGGGGGGGAGCCTCACCTAGAAGGCCACCCTCTCTCTCTCTCTCTCTCTCTCTCTCAAAAAAAAAGGGGGGGGGGGGTTTTCTGCCTACACTCTGTCATGATCCTACAAAATAATAACAGCTGCAAAATGGCTTCATGTTACAGTTTTTTAAAGTTCTGGGTCACTGTGGTGGGGTCAGCTTTGTGTTATGGAACCAACAGTAGATATATACATGATCTGACCTTTACCAAAAGCTGAGTTTCATTGATCTGTGTTACAGCTGGCAGTCTATAGCATTTTAAGAAAGTTGGCTTTGCTGCTACACGTACATTTGGCTTTCTGATTGTTGGTGTCTAATTTTGTACATCTCACTTTCTGCCCCTTGTCAGTGAACTCTAACAGGCAGGGAACGGTGGCTTATCTGAATAAGATTTAGTACAGTGATTTTATACTCCTGTCTATGCACTTTTATAATCCTTATCATATACCAGAAAACAACACTTTCAAAACTCCCGATTTTACTACATTCAGAAGCAACTCTTGGGAATGACTGAACAGCTCTAAGCTACACTGGGATGGATTTGAATTAAAATATCTTGCTTTTTATTGCAGGCATCTTTTTCATAAATCTTGCGTAGACCCGTGGCTGCTAGACCATCGCACCTGCCCTATGTGTAAAATGAACATTCTAAAAGCTCTAGGGATTCCGGTAAGCATGTCATGCAACAGGCTAGTCAAAGTAGAGTGAGAACACCTCCATCCTGTATACATGCCCATCTGTTTGCTATTTAGATTCTCATACCACATTCATCACCATGGTACACTGATTTATTAACAGGAACACAAGCAGACATCTGTCTATTTTTTCTCTTTCCCCCCCTCCCCTTTGGCTGGGAGGGTGTATGTGTGTGTGTCTGTGTTGCTTGGTTGGTTTATTGAGGGGTTGGATTTTTTTAAGTAATTGTGGCAGGGTTGTACATTCACATACAAACCTTTTCTATTTACTCTTTTACATCAGGGATGGATTTTTTTTAACTACATTCCTCCTTGTTGCCTCAAAGCAAAGGGTGTACAAATAAAATCTCTCCTGGTGTATCATTCTAAGGCAACTTGCCTCTGATTCTGATTGCAAAAGTCATTGCCTTTTCTGTCGGGTTCCGTCCCCTCTCTTAAAGCATCATTGCATGTCAGCAGGCCATGCACTCATAATTCTAGTTATGAAACATAACATTTTCCCCAAATGATTAAACATGAGATTCATGTGATTACAGTATAAGAAAATGTTAGATTGTTAGTCACTTGGTAAATTCAGCTCTGTTTAGAAACCTGCCAAAACTTGCCAATTAACTCTTTGGATTGTATTGTCAAATATACTTAGTACATGTTCGACCAGCAATGAATTTCCCTAAATTACAGGTATCTCACAGTTCAGTGTCTTCTCCACCAAGAAATTAATCAAGGTTTATGCTATGTGAAAAAGTATCTCCTGTCAAGTTCAACACAGCCAGTGGTGGTTAGTATGCCAACAGCTGCTGTAAATACACTGTCCCCAAGCTGAGGCAGCAGCATGCCAGCATTACATATCTGAGCGCTACACAAGAGAGATGAGACAAAAACCAACCAAATGAACAAATGAGGACAGCTAATGCAGTTACCCCCAAGAGCAGCAGTGAAATGACATGGGGACATATAATCCAAACAAATTACTGAAATGAAAAAAGAGTCTGATACAAGTGCTGAAATTATTATTCTAGGAAATAGCACAATAATAAAATAATCATGCAGGTGTGTCCGTTAACTTAGTACAATTATAAAGCCAAAAGGAAGCAAATAATATTATTCTAATGATATATTATAATTAGGCTTCTTGATTGATAGTGTGTGTGTGTGTGTGTGTGTGTGTTCAACCTTCATTCAGCCCCCTAGTATGCATTACAATACTGTGTTTAATTCCATCATCACATACTATTTTTTCCACTGACCTCCACTTGGGTCATCAGCAGGGTTAGTCATCAGCAGGGTTAGGACCTTAAGATCCACCCTACCACAGATCTCCAAGTAACTTGCAGCAGTAGTAGGCTGTTATGCTGCATGCAGACCAGCCATTAGAGGGGGATGAGACACACACTTTCCCAGTGGGTTTCACAGCTATTGCTGACAGCAAAGAAACCACTCAGAACTCCTGCATTCAGTTCCAGGTTCTGGAGGGGAGTGTGCTCTTTTGCCCTTAGCCTGTCTCTGTCCCCTCTGCTCCCTAACTCCCTGCCCCCCAAGATCCAGCCCCTTTATCCCCTTTCCCCTTAAGTTCCGGTCCCCCATAATCCTATCACCCCTCCCCAACATCTCCCGTCCCACTGCTTTTCACCCCTCTGCATTCAAGTCAGGCTGATTCCTCCTTGCTGCCTGTGCCCCAGCACGAGGAACATAAAAAGAGCACAGGAGAGACAGTCTCCCTCTTCTCAGTTGGCTTCCTATGCCGCAGCAGACCTTGGCTGCCAGGGGGAACAATTGCAGGAAAGTGCTGCTCAGCTCCTGTGTCCGCTGAGCTGGAGCACACTTGGTACTGATGGAATCTTCAGAGAACGTAGCTGCCAAACTCTTAACAGGTCTCTACTGAGCATGTGTGAACTGATATTTTCAGAGGCTCAAACTTGGCCAAATTTGAGTGGAATTTCACAGCAACTGGAAAAAGCACAATCTATGACACAAAGATCACCCTCCTTCCCAATTTCAAGTCCTGCTCCAAAGCATGAAGCCACTACAGCTTCTCAATGAAACAGTTGTACGAATTTTGTTAACATGGGCAAAACATATTTTCCCTCCCTAACCTCATTCTCAATTCTTGCTGAACCATTGCAACTGAAACTACCCCCACCGCTCTTAAAAAAAAAAAAAAAATCAGTCTGAGGCAAACACCCATCTTGGAAAACTTCAGCTCAAATGGTTGCAGTTTGGCAAAGTTATAAGCAACTGAAAACAGTCTTATAATGGAAAGTGTCGGGAAACCTTGGCTTATAGACAGTGCAACTGGCTCCATTTATAATATAGAATGTCTTCATGCCAGCTGTATGCTTACCTTAGTGGTGTACATTAAAAAGTTGGTTTGTGTGATTATGAATGTGGCATTATGTTTCCATTTTAAGAGGAATGTATAATAGTTTTTAATTGATATTGTTCTAAAAGAACTAGATCTAAATTTTCAAGTCAGTGCATGCCAATTTGGCAATTTCGTCACACAGTTTACTTCATAGTCAAGATTTTTAAAAATGGCTGCCTAGAACTAAAGCCTATTTAGCATGGCCGGCTCCAGCATTTCTGCCGCCCCAAGCAATTGGCGGCAATTGGGGAAGAAAAAAAAAAAACGCGATCGGCGGCGGCAGTTCAGCAGCAGGTCCTTCGCTCCTAGAGGGAGTGAGGGACCTGCTGCCCCCGAATTGGCGCAGGTGCCGCCCCTCTCCCTTGGCCGCCCCAAGCAACTGCTTGTTAAGCTGGTGCCTGGAGCCGGCCCTGCTATTTAGGCATGTAAATAACTAGCCTGATTTTCAAAAGTGGTGAGTGCCCAGAAGCTCCCATTAAGATGTATCTCCTTTCTGCTGAGGCAGCCTGGTCCCCTGGAAGCGTTCCACCCTTAATGAATTCTGCCACCATTTACAGAAGCAAATGTCTGGCCTCAGTCCTTCCACTGGCACACTAATGGTGAATTGAGCCCACAAAGCTTAGTTTCTTCTGGTCTTGGTGTCTAAAGGGAAAACTTTTTTTCTTTCAATTTCAAAGAGCTACATCATTGTTGGGATGATCATATCAAGTAAAATAATCTCCCTTCAGTTCTTTCCCCTTCTCTAGAAACATGGTCTGAACATGCAAACAACTGCACTTTTTTTTACTAGATTGGTTGAGTTGGAGTCTTTCATTAAGAACCTGGTGGAAAGGCCACTCAAGTCAGTGGAAAGACTCCCATTTTTAGAATCAGGCCCTAAAAGCACATATGTACAGAGAACTAGAGAAACTAATATACCAGGTAAATAACAAAATTTATCAAAATATATTTGTGTCACTCTGACAGTAAAAGGTATAAATAGTAATTTAAAAAAAGCAATATTTGATATCATTAGGATTAAAGTCTACTGTTTAGTTTTTTTCCAAGTAAAATGATATTAAATCTGCATGTAAAAAGGGATCAATTAAATTGAACCATGACATTTGTGCCGCTTTAGTTAATATTTTGTTGGGCTTTCCTTTATCTCCTATTTTTAAGGGTTTAAAAATTGGTCAAAAGCTCATTCTAGCAAAAACTGCAAACAAAAGGGACGAGGAGCGAATGGCTAACTGGGGGGAAAAACATTTAAACATTTGCTTAGTTATATAATGGTTATAAGACTGTTGTATAACCCTCAAAACCAAATTTGATTTTAAAATGAACTTTCAAAGGCTTCCAACAACTGTTTGAAAAGAAATCTAATGGAAAAAAATGTTGATGTTTGTGCCCAGCAATTTTTGTCCCCGGTCCTGTCCTGTAAGTAAACATATGCATAGCTTTCACACATGCATACTCCCAGTTCAATGGGACTCATGACTTTGCAGGATAAAGCCTTTTCTTTGCTCAAAGTTGATTAGAATTTTTTATGCTTGCAGATGCACTGTCTTCATGCCAACTATTATTTAGTTTCTTCCCCAACTCTAAAGCCCCCAAACTGTGGTTTAGGTTTTTTGTTGTCTGATTACATTCTATACTTTAGTCTGTGAACACAAAATCATCTGAGGATTGTTTAAATGAACATATTCTTTTATTATGAACCATTTTAAAATAATGCTAAGTTTGTAACATAGAATCTTAAAATGTAGAGCTGGAAAGAGCCTCGAAGTGATCTAGTCCAGTCCCCTTCACTGAGGCAGGACCAAGTATGCCCAGACCTAACCTGTTTTTAAAAACCTCTACTAACACAAATTTCACAACCTCCCTCAGAAGCCTATTCCAATACTTAATTATCCTTATAATTAGAAAGCTTTTCCTAATATCCAACATAAATCTTTCTTGCTGCAGATTAAGCCAATTCTTTCTTGTCCTTTCTTCAGTGGACATGGAGAGCAATTGATCACCATCTTCTTTACAACAGCCTTTAACATATTTGAAGACTGTCAGGATCCCTCTAAGTCTTCTTTTCTCAAGACTAAAATGCCCCATTTTTTAACCTTTCCTCATAGGTTAGGTGTTCATTACTGTAGTCTCCTCTGGACTGTCTCCAGTTTGTCCACATCTTTCCTAAAATGTGGTCCCCAAAACTGGACACAGTACTCCAGCTGAGCCCTTACTAGTGCTGAGTTGGACAATTACCTCCTGTGTTTTATATATGAAACCTGTTAATATGCCCCAGAATATTAGCTCTCTTATTTATTTATTTTGCAACTGTTTCACATTGTTGGCTCATGTTCAATTTGTGATTGACTACAACCTCCAGATCCTCCTCAGCAGTACAGTACTACAACCTCGCCAGTTATTCCCCATTTTGTATTTGTACATATGACGTTTCCTTCTAAGTGAAGAACTTTACATTTGTCTCTATTGAATTTCATCTTGTTGATATCAGACCAATTCTCCAATTTGTCACAATCATTTTGAATTATAATCCTACCCTCCAAAAAGCTTGCAACCCCTCCCACCTTAGCATCATCTACAGATTTTATAAGCCTAGTCTCCACTCCATTATCAAAATCATTAATGGAAAATGTTGAATAGTACTGGATCCAGGACAGACCCTGTGGGACCACACTAGATACATCTTCCCAGTTTGACAGCAAACTATTGATAACTACTCTTGAGTACGATCTTTCAGCCAGTTATGCACCCACCTTATAAAAATTTCATCTAGACCACGTTTCCCTGGTTTGTTTATGAGAATGTCACATGGGACTTTATCAAAAGCCTTACTAAAATCATGATGTATCACATCTACTGTTTTCCCCTTGTTCTTGACAAATCTATGTTGGTTATTATCTATTATTCTATTATCCACTAATTGGGCAATACAAATTGATTGTTTAATAACTTGTTCCAGTATCTTTGCAGGTATCAAAGTTCAGCTGACTGGTCTATAATTCCCTGAGTCCTTTTTGTTCCTCTTTTTAAAGATAGGTACTATGTTTGCCCTTCTCCAGTCCTCTAGGACCTCACCCATCCTCCATGAGTTCTCAAAGATAATTGTTAATGAATCTGAGATTGCTGCAGCTAGTTCTTTTAAGTACCTTAAGAGTGAATTTCGTCAGGGCCTGCTGGCTTGAATATATCTAATTTATCTAAATATTCGTTAGCCTGCTCTTTCCCTATTCTGGCTTGTGTTCTTTCCCCCTAGTTAATATTAATTGTGTAAAGCATCTGGTCACAATTAATCTTTTTAGTGAAGACTGAAGCAAAATAGGCATTAAATGCTACAGCCTGCTTGATGTCATCTGTTATTAGCTCTCCTTCCCACTAAGTACTGGACCTATACACTCCATCTTTTTCTTTCTCCTAATGTATTTATAGAAGTTCTTCTTATTGCCTTTTATATCCCTTACTAGGAGTAACACATTTTGTGCCTCAGCCTTTCTCATTTTGTCCCTATGTTCTTGTGCTGTTCTTTGCTATTCATCCTTAGCAATTTATCCATGTTTCCACTTTTTGTAGGTTACTTTTTTGGATTTATTTCAGGCCATGAAAGAGCTCCTGATTGAGCCATGTTGGCTTGTTACTGCTACTCTTATCTTTCTTTTGCATCGGGGTAGATTGCTGCTGTGCTTTTAATAGTGTCATTTTGAGAAACTGGCAGCTTTCATGAACTTTTTTCCCTTAGATTTTTTTATCATGGGACCTTACCTGTCAGCTCTCTGAGTTTGTTAAAGTCTGCACTTTTTTAAAGTCCATTATGCTGGCATGAAACAACAAAAGACAGGAAATTCACAGGAAAGGGTGAAACAGGCTAAAGGACTGATCAAGTAAAGCACTTGGGCACAGGTTTAGCTTTAAAAACATACGCTGTCTCATTTTCTTCAGTGGGACTACTCAGATACTTGAAGTTAACAATGTTTAAATGCTTCGCTAGATCAGGGCCTCTGAATCAGATTTTCAAAAGTATTTAGGCGATTATAGATGCAGATGCTCAGCTAGTGGAATTTTCAAAAGTGTCTAAGCAGATTAGGCGCCTAAATACATTTGAAAATCTGCCCTATAGTGTATGCTAACTTTTTTAGGCCTAACAGGATATTTGTGTAACTGCAGTTCTATCTGAATATGCCCCTTTATGCTTACAGGTGCTGTTGAACACCTTGCACACAGTACCCTAATCTTTGAATTTTCCTTGTTTTTATTATTTTATGGCCTAACCTTAAGGCGTTATTTCTGAAATGGCTGTGCAAGCTCAACCTCTCCCTGCTATGGAGAAAGCAGACCTGACACCTTTGCTGAAAGGCTTAGGGGAGTCTGCATTCTCATGTACAGCAAAGGGAATTTACTCACACAATTGCCATTAGTATTCAGAGGGGAACTCTCCAGAAATAATCAGTCTGACAGTCAGGAAATAAACCAATACAGAAATACTTGAAAGATCAGTAAATTCTACTGCAATTTGGTCATCTCAGCTTGACCAATGAGTTGCTATCTAGAGGATATTAAGAGGTCTTGGCACCACAACACACAAGCTCTGTAACCATCTGCTTTAAATGCATCTGAATCACTTTTCCAGTAGCCCTGAATTTATTGAGTGTGTGCATTTATAGGCATGAGTTTTAATTCAGTCATTTTGCCTTTGCTTTTGTTTTTTAATTCATTTGGTTTCTCTGGGACCACAATACAGGGAAGACTCCTGAAATTCCCATTACAATGAATTCTTTATTCTTTCTCATTATTTTCAGCTATAAGAAATGAAGTACAGTATAGGCAAAATGTAAGTCTTTTAATATTGAAAACATTTTCCTTCTCTTAGCAATAGCTATATACACCCCTTTTCCACCCCTCATACAAATGTGCACACATGCAGTTCTTATCAGTTCCCCGCCTTCACTTAAGTCTCTGATATCAGCTCTATAGTATGTATATTTTAAGACTTAAAAGGTACAAAATCCCCTGCAGTTATTGCCTGTGTTTATGTTCATAATCTGACTCAGCAGTGTGCCTACCTCAGGCAGATCATATCAATATATGTGCTCATTTACTCCATGACACACTCCCCCAAACTTTTTTTGTTTTTCTGTGAGGAAGCAAACATCAATTTTCTGGGCAAGACTTTTTCATTTCCTCTGCATGCTGCAAGATAGTCTTCCTACAAATGCTATTAAGAGGATCCAGGTATACAGAAAGCAAATAAACTGTATTTATTGGATATTACCATTTAAGGGCCCAATATTGCAATATTTATCGTAGTCCCATTTAAATCAGTGAAGCATCCGTAATAAGCACAAGACATAATAGTAAGTGATTGCAGGATAGGGCCCTAAAAGGAGTGGGTGAGAGGGAAAAAATCTAAATTAATTAACTGGAACCACTTATGTATAAATTCAGGAAGAAAATCTAGAGCAGTTATTTCCTTTAAGACTGATTAAAAGATAGGAAACAAAGGGTAGGAATAAATGGTCAGTTTTCAGAATGGAGAGAGGTAAATAGTGGTGTCCCCAAAGGGTCTGTACGGGGACCGGTCCTATTCAACATATTCATAAATGATCTGGAAAAAGGGGTAAATAGTGAGGTGGCAAATTTGCAGGTGATACAAAACTACTCAAGATAGTTAAGTCCCAAGCAGACTGTGAAGAACTACAAACGGATCTCTCAAAACTGGGTGACTGGGCAATAAAATGGCAGATGAAATTCAATATTGATAAATGCAAAGTGATGTACATTGGAAAACATAATCCCAACTATACGTATAAAATTATGGGGTCTAAATTAGCTGTTACCACTCAAGAAAGCGATCTTGGAGTCATTGTTTTCAGAGAATGAAAACATCTGCTCAATGTGCAGTGACTGTCAAAAAAGTGAACAGAATGTTGGGAATCATTAAGAAAGGGATAGATAATAAAACAGAATATACCATATTACCTCTATATAAATCCATGGTACACCCACATCTTGAATACTGCATGCAGATGTGGTCACCCCATCTCAAAAAAGATGTATAGGAATTGGAAAAGGTTCAGAAAAGGGCAACAAAAATTATTAGGGTTATGGAACGGTTGCCATATGAGGAGAGATTAATAAGACAGGGACTTTTCAGCTTGGAAAAGAGACAACTAAGGGGGGAAGACAGATAGCGGTTTATAAAATCATGACTCATGTGGAGAAAGTAAATAAGGAAGTGTTATTTACTCCTTCTCATAACACAAGAACTAGGGGTCACTGAATGAAATTAATAGGCAACAGATTTAAAACAAACAAAAGGAAGTATTTTTTTCACACAATGCACAGTCAGCCTGTGAACTCCTTGACAGAGGATGTTATGAAGGCCAAAATTATAACAGGGTTCAAAAAAGAGCTAGATACTTTCATGGAGGATTGGTCCATCTATGGATATTAGCCAGGATGGACAGGGATGGTGTTCCTAGCCTCTGTTTGCCAGAAGCTGGGAATGGGCGACAGGGGACAGATCACTTGATTACCTGTTCTGTTCATTCCCTCTGGGGCACCTGGCATTGGCCACTGTTAGAAGACAGGATACTGGGATAGATGGACCTTTGGTCTGACCCAGTATGGCTGTTCTTATGTTAATATGAAAATAAAGAACACTAAGGTTTTTTTGCTTATGTCTAAAGTTAAGAGGTCCATTTCTGGTCATATATAATATATGCATAATTCCAACTAGATCACTAGGAGCCAAACAAATATTTGAAGGCAGAGTTTGCTCCTAAAGTAAGGTGGCTAAAATTTTCAGAAGCCTGAGTCCCATTTTTAAGTGATTTAGGCACTTAGCAGCCAATGTCTCAATGAAGGTGAATGATAAATCATTTAAGAGATTTTGAAAATTTTACCCAGCTTCTTTCTTGTAACTATAGTACTTAATATTTTCTCTGTAGAATAGAAGCTCAAAGACTTTTCTTTTTGTTTCCATTAGCCAAATGCGGATTGCATAGATGATATACCTCCAGATTTTGAAGCTTCCATAGGAGGACCGCCAACTAATCAGATTACAGGAGCTAGTGATATAACCGTGAATGAAAGCTCCGTAGCTCTGGATCCTCCTGTCCGGACTGTGGGAGTACTACAAGTCATCCAGGATGCAGATCCTCTTCCCCAGGTTGGGGAGAGTAACTTCACAACAAGTAGTAAGTTTCTCCTTCTGGCAGAGTTTGCCCTGAAAATAGTATGCAGAAACCTGAATCACAAAGAAATGTATAGATGTGTGGGGCTTGGAATATTGTTTTTACTACTTTAAATTTCACTGAAATCTAGAGGATAAGTAACTTGGCTTAAAATGGCACCTTTGAATTATCATGGAGTATTACTGTATCACAGATACTCTGAACCCAATGTGCAAATAAATGGATTGAATCTGATAGAATAGTAAAGTGAAATGCATGGAAGAATACTCTAGACTAAGTAGAAATAGGCCCTTTCTATTAACACAAAGTAGACTAAAGTTATAGACATCTTCACATGTTGTTTGACAGTGAATCCTTTTACCAAGGCCTTCCTTGATAATCTCCACCTATAACTCAGCTCCTTTGTTAAATTCATTTGTTGGATGCCCTTGTCTGCCGAGTTTGGCTAGTCCTTATCCCCTGGTCTGCCTTTCTTCGATGTACTATTTATTGTTATACATGCAGAGTTTCACTCTTGCTTCAAGAACATAAAATAGATTAACAGATTCCAAGGCCAAAGGAGACCATTGTGATCAACTAGTCTGACCTCCTGTATAAAACAGTCCAGAGAACTTCCCCAAAATAATTGCTAGAGCATATTTTTTAGAAAAGCATCCGATCTTGATATTAAAATTGCCAAAGATGGAGAATTCACCACAACCCTTGGTAAATTGTTCCAATGGTTAATTACCTTGCTGTTATAAAAATCTACGCCTTATTTCCATTCTGACTTTGTCTAGCTTCAACTTCCAGCCTTTGAAATATATTATACTTTTCTCTGTTAGATTGGAGAGCCCATTTTTGAATATTTATTCCCCATGTAGGTGCATGTAGACTGCAATTAAGTTATTCCCTACCCTTCTCTTTGTTTAGCTAAATAGATTGTGCTCCATGTGTCTGTCACTATTTTCTAATCCATGTTTTCTAATCCTTGAATCATTCTCATGGCTCTTCTCTGAATCCTCTTCAATTTTTCAATATCCTTCTTGAATTATGCAGCAACAGTCACACTTGTGCCAAGAAAAGAGCTAAAATAACCTCTCTACTCCTACTCAAGGTTCCCCTGTTTATGCATCCAAGGATCACATTAGCTCTTTTGGCCATAACATCACACTGGGACTTCATGTTCATCTGATTATCCACCAAAACTCCCAAATCTTTTTCAGAGTCACTGCTTCTCAGAAGAGAGTCCCCATCCGATAAATATGGCCTACATATTTTGTTCCTCGATGTATATTTTTATAAATAAAAGGTAAAGCTATAGTCACTTGCCTAACTGTAGGACACTTCCTTGAAATCAAGAAAAAAAAAGTATATTTGGATTCCTTTTGTGCTTTTGCATTGTCTTCTTTACATCACTGGAAGCTTTACTTTTTATTTCTTGAAAACTATTCTTAGTTTTTCAAAAGGAGTGTTGGTCCTTTTTTACTACTTTAATGGACACCATTCATGCTGACAATCCCAAAATGTCATCCCTACCCTGTCACTAAAAGTAACATTTTGTTTTCAGAATCTTCCTCTGACAGTTTAAGAAAATGATTGTCAGCTCTCCAAAATGAGGGCTGTCTCAGTCTGCAAATGCCACTTGTAGGCAAAAATAACAGACAACTGGAAAGTTTGTATATACATGACTGAAGCATGTATATGCACGTTGTTGGGCATATGAACAGAAAAGTAACACCCGCATGTGTACTTGATATGGGATAGAATAATATGACAAAACATTGGTTTGGGTGTGAAACTTGCCTAGGTCCTAAGAAATTTTGGATATTTAACTATGTTTACTTAACATTGCTATATGCTGCTCCAGTGGGATATGGTGGTTGAACTTTATCACTTTTCTGTAAGTGAAAAAGAAAGGAAAGTAACAACATGAAGGGAGAGAGACAAGACAAGATGAGCGTGGAGAAGACTGTTTCTAAATGGCCTTCCCAGAGATTCTTCTTCCTTTTTGTTGTCTTAATTCCTTTAGTTCTTTCTCTTATTACCACTCTGCATGAGTCAGCTACATTGCTCTGTTGTGTCAGCTTGGAATGCCAATGAAACTAACTTTCTGATCTCCTAAGTGCTGACTTTTATTACTTCATGGAGTGAGCTGTTAGTCATTTTCACCTGAGCACGGCATCATAGCAAGGAAACAGAGGATTTAGGGGAAGTGGCGCAATATTCAGGGTGGAGGAGAAAAATGGTCTCACCATGGCCTTTCATACTGGCCCTCAGGTCTCTGTTGGCTCCATTCTTGTGATCCAGTAAGGGATTTAAAATGACAACTTTCCTTCTTTCTGGAGAAGAAGTCCTAGTCTTTCTGAAAGAAAAGGACTCACCTTAGTTTTGGTTCTTTGCAGGATCAAAATCATGGAACCAGCAGGAGAGCAGAGACAATGTTATGTGCATACACAGACTCCCACATGCGTGGTACCAGCCCAAGAGCTCGTGTGTGAAGACTTGCTCTGGCCTCGTTTTGTTGGGCTGATCAGTTTTAATCAATGAGAGATATTTTAGATGAGTGGTTAGTTTTAAGTTAGTAAAATTTTATTAGTAACATTTTGTTCCTTTGTATCTTGACAGTGCCCCTGTTAAATGTTGTTGTGCTTCTCGTGATTGATTTCATTGGTGACATTAAGATTTTTATTTGGTGGTACAAAAATTTTACTAAGGATGTTAAGCAGTATTCTGATGTCAGTTTTGCTGGTTTAAGACCAGAGTAACACCACTCAAGCCAGTAGTTACTCCAGATGTATATCATTTTATGTAATTGAATTACCCCCACTGTTCTTCATTTTATCATAAAATAATATGGGATGTCAGATACTCATTTGAGAGGAGTGCAGAATTTCTTCAGTTCTGTTCTGTTGGTCTACCTCACTGATATACTTGGTTGTACTACAAACAGTGGGCTAGATACACAGATCAGGCACAGGACTCAACACAGGGATATGTTACATTTGTGTCCCTCAGTTCTGTGGCTGTCCAAGGGCCATGTTGGCCCCCAACACAATATAGAGCATTTTCACAGCTACTCTACTTTGCATTCAGCTGTGACAGCTGCTAAGGGGCAATTACACCAGCCAGAGAGTGTAGCAGTGCGCCAGCCACTCCCCTTTTCCTCCCATCTTGCTCTCAATAAGTATCCTGTAAGGATTTGGAGGGAACTGATGTCAGCGCAGCTACACTGGATCTACACCACTGGGGGATTCCACTACACAAAAGGAACTCTTCAACTGACTAAAGCAGCATGGAAGTGTGCTTTGGGTCTCTAGTACCCACTCATCCACCCTATTTAGATTCTGTGGTTCTCATATTAGGGAGTCAGTTCCTTATCCCTCATTAACCAGAAAAACCCAGCACAGGATAACTATACAGCATGAATCTATTGATGTTGCTTTCCGTCATTCTAATAGCAGCAGAGGCAATGTATCCCTATCAGAGAATCCTACTGAAAATGGCAAAGCCAGAAAACAAAGCTAAGGGGAGAGATTCTCCCTCCTGGTCTAGAGCCCGGGGCTGGGTGCAAGGCACTGGAAGGAAGTGCTGCTGCGACTTTTGAAAAGAACCAGCATAGGCCCTGAACTGGGCAGGGGGAAATCTCCCCTTCATAAGCACCTGCATTGATAGGATAACTGCCTATAGCACTGTGGAGATTCTGGATGGTGCTGCAGCCTATTGGCAGCTATTGGCTGTGGTAACTTAAGCAGCTCCTAAGTACATCGAGCAGTTGCATCAACCCTCAGAACAACCAGAATCAGGAAGGCATACTGGAAGCTTAAAGCCGCCTTAGCCAGCTTCAATGCCCTGGGCTGAATGTGTATGTCCTGCACTTAGCACACAATCTCATCCATGGTATTCTGATTTGGTGCTTGGTTTTTCAATTAATAATGGTTGGGCAGCAATATTATTTATTAGTTATACATGATTATTAGACTTTGTTCTTTTCAGGATTACATTTAATGCTTGACAATTTTTTGGCATGGTTGGGTGCGCAAACTTATATCATCTCAAGAACGCATCCATATGGTCTGATTCACAATAGTATTCAGCAACTGGACCTTGTACATTCTGCAAAGGGCTGGCAGTAAACTAACCCTTTCGTGTTCGTTTGGGAGTTAGGGGCCTGAGTTTCGAAGGTGATGAGAATGCACAACTCCAATTGACTTCAGTGGGAGCTGCAAGTGTTCCGCCCCTCTGAAATTAAGCCCTAGAGTTCTCAAACAGAACACAGTTTTAACCCAGGTGGGGGGGACAGTTTTATAGCCAATACACACTACAACTTAAACTAGGGTTACCATATTTCCACAATCAAAAAAGAGGACACTGGGGGGGGGGAAGCCGCGCCCTAGCCCCACCCCATCCACTCCCTCCCACTTCCCACCCCCTGACTGCCCCCCTCAGAACCCCAACCCCCCCTGCTTCTTGTCCCCTGACTGCCCCGACCCGTATCCACTCGCATGGGTGGCAGGGTTGTAGAAATTTTGGTGGTGCCCAGAACTCATCCCCCCCCCACCCTGCCTAAGGCTCTGGGAGGGGGGCTGGGTGGGGGGAGGAGGTCTGGGGTGCAGGTCCTGGGCTGGGGATTAGGGTGCAGGAGGGGTGCAGGGTGCAGGGTGCAAGTTTGGGTGCTGGGTGCAGGCTCCGGGCTGGGGCAAGGGGTGGGTGTGCAGGAGGGCGTGAGGGGTGCAGGCTCTGGGATGGAGTTTGGGGGTGGGAGGGGGTGCAAAGGGAGGGGGTGCAGGCTTTGGGAGGGAGTTTGAGGGCAGGAGGGGGTGTGTGGGAAGTAGGGAGAGGGCTTGGGAGGGAGTTTGGGGATAGGAGGGGATGCAGGGGTGAGGGCTGTGGGTCTGAGGTTCATGATGCAGGAGAGGGCTCAGGGATGGAGCAGAGGATTAGGGTGTGGGGGGATGAGGGCTGGGGCTGAGGAGTTTGGGGCATTGGAGAGGCTCAGGGCTAGGGTGGAAGGGCAGGGTAAG